GGGGGGGGTCCTCAGAGTTGCACTGCACTTTCTGAACTGACACTAAATCGAAGCAGATTAGGAGATAGATGTTTCACTAAATGTCTGGTCGATTCATTCTCACAACCACAACTTTGTCAAAGTGGAAAACAGAAGCAAGTTGAGATATAAAGTCAGACGCGTCATTAGCTCAAACCTGGCAAGTTTTTTTTTTTTTTACAACATATTGACCAAACCACTTTCAGCTGCAGTCACACATACACGGAAGAGCTGCTGAACCTCAGCTACAAAAAACACCTTTTAGACTAAATCTATATCAGCTAGAATAATTGGCTCAGTGGGCAAAATTTTAATAAACAGACACTGCAAGATCTGGCACCTGATGCAAGAAATACACATTATAATAATACAACTACTACTACTACAACTACAACTACTACAACTACTACTACAACTACTACTACAACTACTACTACAACTACTACAACTACTACTACAACTACTACAACTACTACTACAACTACTACAACTACTACAACTAATAATAATAATAATAATAATAAAAATAATAATTAAAAAATATGACTACTACCACTATTACTACTAAAAAGAATAATAATAATAATAATAATAATAATGCTTGTGAAGCCGTATACCCTTTAAGTCTGATGTTAAGAGGATATTGTCCATAAAAATTATTTTTTTTTCTCCTAATAATCAGTCTTGTATTTCAACCTTAGGAGTTTATACACAGCATTTGATTTCAATAATTATTTATTTATAATGATATATTATATATTAATAATAATATTTATATTTATTAATTATTATTTAGTAATTATTAAGCAAGGCCTGTTACGGTAGATGAGAAGCAGCAAACTGTTTTGTAAACTTTTGGAAGTATAAAAAATAAAACTTCAAGTTCTGTCAGTTTTATTTATTGTTTTAACTACAGTATTTTACTATGTACTTTATTTTTATGCTACCTAAATATTTTCATTTTTAAAGGAAAGTTTTGCATGCGACTTTACCCGAGTCACTGTGGAGGGATGTTAAATGAGAAAATAATCCAATATTGTGAAAAATCAAATGTTAAAAATTATTATAAATATAAAATAGAGGAGAATTCCAAACAAAAATAATAAAATATTGTTGACAGAGATGTGTGTTTGGCATACATAACTAATAAATTTAGCAGCAATATTTAAGTATTATTAAAAACAAAGAACATGTTTTTTCTTCACCCGATTGCAAATCAAATAAGAATGAATTAAACCTCAACAGCTTTAAGACAGAGGAGAGAATCTGCATTAGACTGTGTCGTTCATTATAAATAAACCGTCAGACTGACTGAGTCAGGAGGAAGTTCAACCCTCATTTAATAAATAGATCAATAGAATGGAATAAAGTAAATAAATTAAACCATGTCAAAACTAATAAAATAGACATTTTTTATTATTCAAGGTTTTATCGTTGCTTTGAATTTTTAAAAAGAAATGCAGACAAAATATACTAAATATCCACAGCACTTTGCCTCTTTTTAAATTGTTGTCATCCTTCAGTAGTTTGTGTGTGTGTGTGTGTGTGTGTGTGTGGGGGGGGGGGGGGGGCTTCCACCCCACTCCCACTCTTGAAGTGACCCGGCCAGCCCATGGGCCACCAGTTGGTGAACACTGATTGAGTTTAGATTGATGGGCAGATGATCTAGTTCAGTGATCACCAAATGGTGTACGAGATGTTAGGTTAAATGCCAACTCTAAATTGTCTCTAGACATGAGTGAGACAAATGGTTGTCTCCTTTGTCTCAGTTTGTCCCGGAGACCTGTCCAGGAAGGCCTCTCGCACAGTGACTAGTTCCTCACAACTCAGGAAGAAGTGTGTAAATCGGTCTACTTTTCACAGGTTATCAGTACTAAATTGCTGCAGACAACCATATGACCTTCAAAAATGTAAAAAAAAAAGAACAAAACATAAAAAAGCTATTACACTTTTTAGATAGGCACTAGAATTTAAAAACTTTAAGGATTTAAAGTTGAAAAAACGAGAAAATGCTGTTCCACGTCTTCTCAGTAGAGGGTGCTCTCTGATTTTACCTGGTTGGTTCTGGTGGACAGCAGCTGCAGCAAACCTCAAGCTGATTTCCACATAAATGCAGCACATCATCTTTGGCAGAAGCAGATCTGAGAGCAGCTCTGCCGTCGGGAGGCTCAAGCACTGGGCCTCGTGAATAATTACAGATCACCAACATGGCTGGCAGGAGCACTAACGAGTGGGTGTGATACCTATCTACAAGTCTGTGTTTAAAAACGCAGAACTACACGTCCTACTCTTTCTCCTTCTCGCACACAACTCTCAAACAGATCTGTTGGTCATTTCCATAAATGAACCTGAAGAGCCGAGAGCAGAGTGGAGATGAGATCAGTGCTGCTGTAGTGGCTCACTGCAGTAAAATTAAACAGGGTCAAACGTTTCATCATTTCAACGCTCTTTTTAAAACAAGAAGAGGTTTGGTGGTTTCCTCTGTATAAAATATGAGTGTAAGGTGCTGGAGGCTAATAAGCAGACGTGAACGGGTTTTTCTGCTGAAAGGAAAAGATGACATTTCTGACCAGCATTTGAACCTGTATGCACGAATCCTAACGAAACAAACAGAAGCTCCTCATTGCAGACGTTGAATAAAACCATGGTTTGATGTAGGATTTCAGCCCAGAGAGGAGTTTGCCTTGCAGCAATCAGCGGTGCGCTGTTTCCAAACAGCAGCTTTGGGTTTTCACTGCGCTGTAGTGAGGGCACATTCGATATTGTGCATTTAATCCACGAGTGGTGCAGACTTATTATACAAACAATTCTCAAAGACGAGAAAGCACAAAACGAGCATGTCTCACCTGATGGTGTACGAACATTCGCGTTTCAAAAATTCTCCTTTTAGTTTAGACTTTTTACAGTTACAGTAGTCCTTCGCTACTTCGCGGTTCGACTTTCGCGGACTCGCTCTTCCGTGGTTTTTCAAAATAAGATTGGACATGACACACAATTGGCTGATTGATGGATGAGCCGCACGAGCGGCATGTATTGTTTATTTAAAATAAATTATTTTAAATGATTTATCATCTGCTAAATCATTAGGTGTAGCAAGAAGCTCGCTCCGGCAGCGCTCTCTGCCACGCCCACATTTCTCCTCCTGCTGCATCGGCTTCGTGAAGGGTTAACCCTTTGCTGTCCAGCTGCACTTATAGACTTTTGTCTTCCAACTTAAAATTCAAAATATGTCACATTGTAAAAGCGTCATAATCACAAAGTATAAAAGTGTTAAAAGTAATTTTTTTAAATTATTTTAGAATTCTATGTTCAGATGTTGGAGTGTAATTGATCAAGAAATAAGGGTTAACACTTTGATCTCTTGCTTCTCCATAATTTAAATTTAAATACTGTTATATTTTTAAATTAACAATCCACGCTTTTTATTTAAAATGTTACAGTGTTTAAATTTAAATTGTTTATTTACACAGAAAGAGGGAGATTGGGAGGTGAGGAGTGTGACTGCAGCGAAGAAGTGGGCGTGGCAGAGAGCCGCAGGTGGCAGAGAGCGGAGATCATGACAAGCTGTGCTCTTTTAGAGCGTTTACAGTTTAGAAACATTGTTTAGAATATTGCAAGAGTGTGGGAAGGGTTTATAAAGCCTTTATATATCAATACTAAAATAAACTACTACTACTACTATTTGTACTACTATCCCTACTTTGCGGTTTTTCACGTATCGCGGTGGAGCAGGGAATGGAACCCCCGTGATAAACGAGGGACTACTGTACGCAGTGTGCTACTCACACATACACACACACACACACACACACACACACACACACACCCTCTAATATCATGACGAAGACGTTTCACCTCAGAAAAAAAGCCTCCATTTAACCTTTAACTGGGTCTCCAGGGCTCTCTGCTTCCTTCAGTACACACCGTTTTACAGATCTGATGAACAGATAAAGCACAACCCAGCGCTGTCCTCCCATCTGACGTCTAACGTTACAAACAACTGTCAACAAAAACAAGCAGGAGTCTCTATTAGTTATTAATCTCTGCCAAAAGGGGAAAGTGGACAATACTGTTGCTGTTCATGTGTGTTTAAAAGCAAGTCTGCCACCAAATTATTGCCTGAACCATGGGACTGATTTAAATAAACCAATCAGAAAATAATTGGATGTTCATCTACAACCAATTTAATTTAGGAATCAAATCGATTCAAGTTGTCTGCTACAGCCAGCTTTTCTTAAAAACACAAACAAGTTTAAAACTCAGTTGTCATTTTTTAATACATAAACATCATCTATGAAAAGTATTCACTTCCTTGCTGCATGTCTTACCTTTTAATTGCTGTCATAAATCAATCGTTGTCAATAAAAATGGGCCTTCTTTCCAAAATGTATTTATTTAAACCTTCAATGTCAAATTGAAATCAAATTTCTACAGAGTAGTTAAAAATATGTGATATAAATTAAGTGATTGAATAAATATTTACACAGTTTAAAGTGACTGGCCTAATTCAACTTGGAGAAAAAAAATTTAAAAATTGCACATCAGAAGATGGAAACAAAACGATTTCCAAGGCTCTGAACATCCCCAGGAGTTCTGTTAAATCCAGCATCAAGAACTGGAAGGAATATGGAACATGTGTAAATCTACCAAGAGCAGGCTGTCCTCACAAACTGAGTGACCGTGTGAGAAGGAGAATAGTGAGAGAGGCTGCCGGGATCCCTGTGATCACTCTGATGAAAAGCTCCAGCAGTTGAGACGGGAGAGACTGAGCATACAACAACTGTTGCCAGAGTTATTCACCAGTCTAAGATTCATAGGAAGCCACTGTTGAAGAAAACTCTAATTAAATCTCAGTCTCTAAAGATCTTTAAAAAAAAGTTAAGTATGGTCCTCTGGCTTTTTTTTTTTTTTTGGAATGTCCAGAGGACCAGACTTAACTTTTTTTTTTAGATTTTTCTACCTGGATTATTGAGCATGCATCAGGATAGTCTCTAAATACAAACTTTGGTTTTCTTTAAACTTTATTTAGATTTATTTGTACAAAAAAAGCCAGTTTATATTGACCATGACTGACTAAACCAAAAATTTAAACATCCAAGGGTGTGAATACCTTATATAGGCATTGCATTGATACGATGAAGCATTAGCTGAGCTGTATTAACGGCACATACTCTGAGCGTGACATCTTGAGATACTGCACGAGATCACGCATGACAATATTTTCACAGTTTGCCCAAAACAACAAGAACTCTGTCATTTCTCAACATAAGATAGACTAGAGGGACCAGCATACTCCATCTGAAGCTGAACCATCGACTCGTGGTCAGGGGACGTTTGTTTTCTCACACACCTTTCATAATCCACAAGACTCAAGCGCAGAGCTCCTGGGAACGCCCTCCCGCTGCAGTATACATCGCCGCACGAGCTTCTTCCCACCAGAGTCTCCACTCCATCCCTGCATCTACCGTTTGGCCACAAATCTTTCATGAAGAAAGCACCACACACTTCAGGAGTCAGACTCCTCCAAACACAATATCTGCACGATCGCCATCCAGGAGTTTTTGATCATCTGACTAATTTAGTGTGTTTGAAGAGTCGTACAGCTGAATGTCTGCACGCATTTCTGCTTTGACGAATATGCCGACAAACTTCTGACCAGTCGGGTACTCCTGTTAGAAAAGGTTCGGCCCGGGGCTTGTGTCAAGAAGGAGTGGGCGAAGCTGCTCTGAGTTCAAAATGATGAGATTTTCGTCAAGCAACTACGTCAATGAGAGACGATTTTACCACTTCGGACCGGGCCCTTGAGTCTAAGAAAATATGAACTCTTCAGGCTGCCGTGTGGTGATGTTCTAGCTGTGGATCAGGTCTGCACAACCACACATTTTAAAACATGCAAGTCATTTTAGGATATTTGAGTTTTTTGTAATACTATTTTTCCTCCCAGTGTTTATATTTTTGATAGAGAAGCAATACGGAGGGAGTCTGTCTTTCAGGTTTACGGTAAAAAATACCTTTGGTGAACACTGAAAACATTTTTGAACTCAACTAATTTTATTTCCACTTTGTTTTTCATTAACTTATTATCATTAGTTTCTAGTAATCACAGGGTAACACTGACTTTTTAGAGAGAGCAAACTATTAAGTTCGTGTCAAAAGGTGACAATAAAAATATTAATTTAATGACTTTACATTAGGCACCAGCTCTGTGATGGACTTATGACCTGTCCCGGGTGTCCCCCGACTGCTGGGCATGGGCACCAGTGACCCCCGTGACCCAAAAAGGAAGAAGCAGGTAAAGTTAATGGATGGATGGACATTAGGCACCACTAAAAATACAACAAACACTCATTACATTATTGCTAGTAAAGGTTTTATAGATGCAGTCTCTCATGCTCCTGACAAAAGACAAAATCTTTGACTCAAGGATATAAATATTTTTAGTGAATGCGAGCTATTTACAGTCTTAGGAAGAAAATGCTCTTCTGTCTGGTGGTTAGTCAGCTGTGGCCTGGGTGGGTGTGTTGAGTTTGAATGCTTTGAGCCCGTCAGGGAGTACAGTGCAACTCCAAAAACCTCTTTCATTCTCTCAGAGATCCAGGTCTCTGTTGAGCTCCATCTAAATACCAGGATGGTAGTGAATAAATCTGTTATTAGCACCAGACATCTGCAGGCACATGGTTTCATTATGAAAATGCTGAGGCACCGCAGCCACACACTGAAGTCCTTAAATTACAGGCTTCTATTTAAATTTGAACACTTGGAATTATACATTCGTTAGATTCATTTGACAACATGTGGATGGATCACATGGATGGAGTCATACATTAGGATAAAGTGGAAGAAAAAACATCGGATCGGCTGAGCTAATGAGACGGGCCGACTTACTCTGTCCCACTCTCCACCATCTGAGTGAGCAGCGAGATGCCGTCCAGGTTGATGAACTCCTGTGCGAAGGTGATGTCCCGGGACGCGTTGGCCAGGTCTTTCAGCGCCTCCAGTTTGGCATCCATGCTGGACGACTGGATCCGCTCATGAAGCTGCACAGCCGTCTGGTACTACCGGGGTGAAAAGTAAAAGATTTAACCAATAACGTTTCTACAAAAGTAAAACATCGCCGAGGATCCAAATGCGTTTTCCTGTGCACATATCGAAAACTTACAGGAGAGGTGGTTAAGCGCAGAATCGAGCCATTCTTGATGTCGTTGCGGTTCTGTTGGGGATTTTAAACACACGAGCGGAGATTAGCGTGCACTCGAGGACCATTCTTCTGTGGATGCTCCTGCTTCCAGTCAAAAATAGATAACCAAACCTTTTCTGTGATGTAGAAATTTGTCGCATCAGCAATCTGTAGAGCAAAGTTTTCATGGTTTCCCAAGGACCAGCTGCAAGGAATCAAACGGATAAAACACATTTTACTAATAGCTACTAAAAACTGCACATCTTCAATGAAGATTGTAGCACGAAGACAAAGAGTGTTTTTAAAATCTATTTTTTAGAAGCTCTCGATGAGTTCTTCCAAATGTAAGAGGAATGCATTTGTGCAGACTTACCCCTCACACACTTCTTTAATGATGGCCGAGAGAGGCTTTTTCTGTGAATAAAAGGCAAAAGTACATTTAGTCCAGCAACGAGTTCCTAAAACAACATTCAGCTAAGAGTGGGCAGCAATTATGTTTTACTGCAGGACTGGAACAATGAGGGATTATTCTTTTTGTTAATTTATCCGTCTCCTGATGCTACAGTTTGCTGCCCATGCCTGTTGCTTTTCATCATGATTGTATTGTAAATATAACAAAATGTAAACATCTTATGACTTTTGTTAAAGGCATATAAAAAAGTAACAAGTTACTTTGTTTAAAAATAAAAATATCCACTGAAATACCTTAATTATTGAATGCTACTTTCTAATAGTTCACACATTCATACCAGCATTAAAGATCAAGTTGACTTCCTTTGAAGTAGAGTTCTGCTTCATGGTATGAACAACAAATATCTTACCTGCTGTAGATAGCTTTTTAACCCACCTCATTTTAGAGAAATAAAGTTTGATTCTCACCAGACTGATTAAAAGCTACAATTAGTAAAATATTAAATGTTGATAATGTTTTCATGCATATTGGCTAATGATCAAATAGATTTGAAACTCATGATTATGATTCAACGTTAGAAGTGTGTTTCAGGACACGTCATCAAAACCCTGCGTCATCATAATACCGTGATGTGATCAAGTTTATTTTGTCTTCAGCTTGAACTTAAAAATACAACAAAAATACACTTTAACCTGATATTACTTATTCCTGGAAATAATTGTGTCAAACTTGAGATTCATTTCAATACATGTTTTTATCATAGTGTTAAAGAAAACCTTTACTCTTGTACACATAAACAACCATTTTGCTAAAAAATGCACACCATTATTCTCCAAGACACAGAGTCACAAAACTTTGGTGGCGTTTTGTAAAAGTTTAAGAAACCAAACCAGTCAAACAAGAAGGCGGGATAGAGAAAACGGGGTTTTCCAACAAAAATACTTCATGGCTGTTTGAGAAGAAGTAAGCAAGTGAGAGTCAACGATTGTGATGTTGATTATCAAACTTAATCTTCAGGATGTATTTTTTTTTTATAAAACAAATGTAGGATCTCAATACATAAAAAAATCAATCTCTGTTAAATTACACCTTTTTTTCCTTCAATTGCTTGTTAGCATTAATGTGCAATGATAAAAGCTTAAAACCAAGAAAAGACTCTTATTTTGTCTGTAGAATTATTTAAAACATCCTGATAAAAATGTACATTAAGACAAGCTTAATAAGAGTTTATATTCAGTCAAAACCCGACTGAATTCTTGTATGACTGCACCTACAGAGATTGAGCAGCAGAGAGGAGAGGCTGCGGTGTCGAAGATTTACAGCGTAGAGGCGGCAGGATGGTGGGAATGCTTGACAAGCAAAGAAAAAGGAGGGAGGTGGCTGAAGAAAGGGGTAGGCTGTTGTGTGAACAAAGGAGACAAGAAAACAACAAAGAGGTGTGGGAGACAGGGAAAGTTAATGGGAGAAATGAAAGACGGGATGCTGAAGTGGGAGAGAGATGAAGATAAAGAAGGGAAGACTGATGATGTTGAGAAGTAAAATCGAAGAGCAGAGGACAATGAAAAGCAGGAAAACTGACAGCACAAGGTGGTGATGAATGTGAGTGAACGACAATGGTTTTAATCAAAATCTGCTCAACATTTAGGATAACTTACAGAACTGATAAACTGGATATGAGGTATAATTAGCATCTAGTTATGAAACACAAAAAGATTTATACTTTTCTGTAAAAAAAAAAAATTAAACTAGCATTTCTTGAAAGAATGCCTGTTGCTCACTGCTTTGCATGTCCGAGATTTAACTAAGATGACATGTTGGGGCTCTGAATATGAGTGAACTGTTGTGCAACTCATACATGCGCAAAAGTTAGAATCAGCTATTTTTAACAGCTTTACAGAATAAATAAAACGTAAAGCCATTCTACATTGAACTAGCTCTTAACATTTGACACACTTACTGACATCTGTAATGGTAACTAGTACACATATGCTACAAAACTTTAACTATTGTAACTATATTACATATGTATTATATTATATATAATTATATATTACACATGCTCTTAATTAGCTTACTGTTATGGTTGTTAAAAATTACATCAAGTCCATTTAGTGTCTCTGGTAAAACTGGAGAACTGCTCAAACAGACTTTCCCGATTAGTTTAACATGAATGGGGTCATATTTGGAGCAAGCGATAATTGAATTAAGCTCCCTGGAGTGCTCCAACCTCTGTCTCCTACTGTACATGTACAGTACGAGTATATTACATCATGCTGGAGCTGTGGCAGCACAGGATCCTGCAGCATGTTGATGTTTATGAAGTGCGGCCTCGGCTCCAGCACAGAACTGTAAGCTGATAAAAACCAGTTATGAACGTAACCGTTTCCCAGTCTTGGTCTTCTGTGAACATCGTCATGCTTTAGATGTTTTTTTCTGCTTCAACTCGCCAGATTTTAATAGATTTTATTAGCAAGTTTTTGCAGAACTTGATGCTCTTGAAATAATTAATTCCTTTGAATCAGCTGTGGAAAAAGGGAAACGTCTAAAACGTGTTAGATGGTGAACTCCAAGAACAATGAATGGAAAACACGGGAGTAGGAGGGACGTAATGTGGGAGGTAGTAATTAATCAAACTGCACTCTGCAGCTTGTTAACCAGGATATAAACGGAATATCTTTACATTGCATGAAATATTAGGAATCGATCAGTGGATTATTATTTTATTTTCAGATGATTAGGAAAGATCACTTTCTTGTAAAAAAATTCAAACCTTCACATAAACATGTTTGCAATAAACTTTTACTATCTATCACTATTTGTTTTGTTTCAAGTCCAAATGCTCTGAAGTATCGGTTGTCACCCCCGATAAGCCCCATCCGATAAACTGCAGGTTTCAGTGAAATGCAAAATGTGATGGAGAGTCGTTCCAAGTAGCCGTGGGAACGCATCTAACTTGTTCCACTCGATAGAAGATGCTGAGAGTCAGAAGAAGCAGCACGATAAAAGTTTGAGCCAACGTGTCCCTGAAACAACACCCCCAGCTGTTTCAAAAGAGAAACGTGTAGCAAACGCAGATGTTTGCTGCATGAGTTGTTGGGTTTTGTTGTATAAAGTTAGAATTATTAATTTTGACAAAATGGAGAGTTTTATGTTTATTTGACGGTGATTTCAATTTTTTTGAAGGCGAAATACAAATAAAAGGTGAACATTAATTTATTTGAACAGTTTTTCTGAGGCTTTTATATTGTTTATAGCGATATCAGAATTATATCGTTATCGACCGAAATTAAGAAATATATCGTGACAGAAGTTTTGGCCACATCGTCCAGCCTTAGTTGGTACCATGCCCAGCAGCAAGTTGGACAGCTTTACATGAAAAGGCTGCAAATTTCTACGAACAAAAATTTACACATCTTTATTTTGTTTTCAGTTTCACAAAACATGTTTGGCTGCGTGCAAATAGCAGCAGCACCCTGTGGTCATCAGATTTTCAACTGCAGACTGTAATAATTCAAAGTTGAGCTTTTTGAACGTTCCAAATTACTTTCTCACTGAACTGACTGATGATGTGTAAACTGTTTGTTGATCTACCTTTTCCCCACATAATGTTGAATTACTGTATAGAGTCCTGACTGTATTTTTATTTGTGTGAATGTTGATTCAGCGTTCACACTACTGTTTCACTATCTTGTTGAATTTCTGTCCTTTTTTCGTAATCCAGCTATACTTCTGCAAATGCTTTGCTATTTTAATCCTAAATATATCAAAACACTCAGCTCATTCAAGAGATGGGTTCCATGACTTTTGATTTTTCTAACTATAGTACTTTTCAAAATATTCCATTCAATACAATTCAGTTTATTTATATAGCGCCAAATCATAACAAGTTGTCTCAGGGCACTTTACAGAAACATTCACATAAAAATCAATTAGTAAAGTTCTCCATCTAAGGAATCCAGCAGACAAGTTGAATCTTGGCTTCGTTGCAGTCTCCCATCCTGAGCAAGCACAGTGGCAACAGTGGAAAGGAAAAACTCCCTTTTAACAGGAAGAAACCTCCAGCAGAACCAGGCTCAGGACAAGCGGCCATCTGCTTTGACCGGCTGCATTTTATTTACAAAAATGCATTTTCTCTACTTTTGTTTTTATTTGGTTTTTATTTGGTCTTATTTTATTCTACACATTGATAGTTGTAATCAAACTATTTCACCCAGGGGGGTTAATAAAGTACATTTTACTTGACATAAAATGAATTGAATAGCAAACAGAGGCAGCTCACAAACACATACATAACTCCACATGTACATAAAACATGCACAGACATGTAAAGCATGAACAGTAACAAGAATGAATGTTGCCACACAAGTACACCTACATGAAAAAATTAATAAATAAATAAAAAACACACACTCGGTTGTATTCATCCACACCCCCGCTCACAAATGAACAACAAATGAACATTCTTTCTCTGGGTCTCAAGACAAGTGGAGCAGCCGAAGCCCACTCCTCATGGCATGACTCAGACAGCCATATGCTACTGCACGGCCCATTGTACAAAGATGGGGGTGGGGGGTGGGGGGGGGGGCACTTGCAACACAATAAAGGAAGGAGGAGTGAAAATGAATGAGTGAAAGCAAAGGACTGGGAAGGAGGGGAAAACAAGACAGGAGGAACAAAGAGAAGATGACGGATAAAGAGTTAAAACAGAGTGAAGGAGCAGAACGTGAGGACAGGTGGCCCGAAGAAGTTAAAATGCAGGCCGGACTCAACTCAAGGCAATTTATAATGTGGAAATAATAAGATGGATAAAAGGTCATGAAATAGAAGAGTCACCAAAATGTGCAACAGTTGTGTTTTAAAACATGAATCAACCAGAAACGCATGTAGTTCAAGGCTCCGCTCATCGAGTTATCCAATGAGAAGGGCAATTTGTAGCTCCAGTTGCCTCAGTGACTCAGAGCTTGTACTGTAATTAGCCCATCTGTGAGTCACACACACACACGCACACGAGCACACACACACACACACACGCACGCACACGCACACACACACACGCACACAAGCACACACACACACACGCACACGAGCACACACACACACACACACAAAGAGAAAAGGCCATTTTACACACTGTATGTGCGATCAGACAGCAAACATGTCCTCTATGCATGAGGTAGTCATTATTTAAGCAAATTATTTTATTAATTTGTTATTCTGTATTTTTGTTGACACTGACCATCTGCTGACCCACAGCATAGTTAAGAGTCATGTGATACATTGTTTATCATAAAATAATGAATAAACAAACAAACCAGAATACAAAAAGAGGTCAGCATGAATTACACCAGATGGATTTTTTCAGCATTTTTTTTTTTTAAAGTGCTTATTTCCACCAAATGTCCCACAAAATAAAATTATTGAAACATAAACTCTATTTAATTGGTACTTAAACACGCATTGCACAGTGATATCCACCGTAACGTCCTTACATTAAACGCAGCCTTCATGCATAACTGCTGCAAAAAGCAAAGATTCAAAATGTTAAAATAATGTTTTAGTTTAGTTCTTTTGTGTCTAGGCCTGTCACGATAACAAATTTTGCTGGGCGATTAATTGTCTCAGAAATTATTGCGATAAACGATAATATTGTTTGGAGACCGTTTAAAACTAATGTAATGATAATGACATAATAATGCAAGTATATCCTCTCAAAGATCATCCATCCATCCATTTTCTTTACCTGCTTATTCCATTTTGGGTCACGGGGGTCGCTGGTGCCCATGTCCAGCAATCACTGTGCGAGGGGCGGGGTACACCCTGGACGGGTCGCAAGTCCATCACAGGGACACAGAGACAAACGAGACAAACAACCATTCACTCTCTCACTCACACCTAGGGACAATTTAGAGTTACCAATCAGCCTAACATGCATGTTTTTGGTCTGTGGGAGGAAACCGGAGTACCCGGAGAAAACCCACGCATGCACGGAGAGAACATGCAAACTCCACCCAGAAAGGCCCCTGGACCGGGGTTTGAACCAGGGACCTGCTCGCTGAGAGGCAGCAGCTCTACCAGTTGCGCCACCGTGCTGCCTCTCTCAAAGATCAATAAACTTTAATTTCAAAAACACAAACTGGACAATAAACAAAACAAAAATAAAAATAAAACGGACTCTCAGTCTCCATTAAAAATGCACTTGAATAAAAACTAAAAAAAAAAAAAAAATATATATATATATATATATATATATATATATATATATATATATGGAAATAAAAACGACATTCAAGCAAAACAGTACGGATTATGACGTGTGTAAACTAAATTGCCCTTCTAAAAATAATACAGAGAAGACAGGCAAAACGGCCAGTTATATAAACAAAAGTGCAAACTAACAAAAGCACACTGAATTTAAATAAGAGCAGATGCCTCAACAGTCCAGAAGCAGATCTGTAGCTACTTTAGTCTGGCAGATTCTGAGCAAGAAACACCAACATGTTGAGTTTGTGTGGCTTAAGGCAGGATAACTGCTATGGATGCTTGGGCTTTAGGTGCAAGTTGGTTGTATTGCTGCTCTTAGTTGCTACCGTGTTAGGACAAATGTGACAAACTGGCTCGCAAAGGTTCAGTGGTTCGCTTCTGTCATTTGGTTTGAATCCGAAGTGCTCCCACACTGCTGCTGTAGTGTTTGACTTTGAAACCAATTCAATTTTGTTTAGTTTTTTGCCAATATCGAATAGCATTTCTTTAGCTTGCTAACTCCTCACGGGACTCTAATGCTGCAGAGGTACAAGACGATGCGCCTTGACTGGCTACATGGCGCGATAGTTCACTCCCTTACGCTAAGGACATGAGAAAGGGAGGAGTCAGTGAAGAGCACCGGAGTTGAGCCTTTTGTCATCCAGTGTCTTCAGTAGAAAGAGAGACACGAAGAAACGATAAAGCAGATAAATGAAAATGATCGACCTCGTTTTAATTTATCATGCGATTAACTGATTTATTGTTTATCATGACAGGCCTATTTGTGTCACATTCATGGTCTTTAGTTCAAGCAGAACAAGAAGAAATGCATAACTGTGCTCTAGGATTGACCTTTTGTTTGCAGCCATTGAAGCTTGGCAACAAATGAAGTGACTTCAGTTGGTTTTGATTTGCAAAATGTGATGCAGAATGGGAAAAAAAATACAAATCTTGAAAATCATACATTCAATAATGATTAAGCAATATGTTTTTTCTGGAAGAACAAAGACACATTTGCTGGTTTTGATTGGTCACATACGCACACAGTGTGACAATGTGGCTCCGCAGTGATCAGAAACTTGACTTTGGACTTCTCTGGTCCACATATCAACAACGTGTCCTTGGCTGCGATTCTTTCACATGCTCACAATGTGCTCATCTGTGCACGAGTGGGTGTTCGAGAGGGATGTGCCAGTGAAGGAGTTAATTAAACCCGTACAGTAAATCACACAGAGCAGTCAACAAGACTAAAAAGGTGCTACATAAATGCTGTTTAATTACAAAACGTCGTTTGCCGAGTGCTGATATTCTCTTTTAGAAAATTAACCTAAAACACATTTACACTTAAACCTAGACCCATTTACACTTTTTGATCATAATTGTCAGGTAATAATAATAACATGTAAAACATTTGAGTTGGTAAACAGCCACGTCCTCGTAAAGAAGCAACGCTTTCTACTTGATCTGATCCGTTATCAGAACCCAAACCTACAAGACCTGACAAGAAACAGCAGAATGTTACATCTGATAGCTTTATCTTGATGTTTTATCAAAAACCTCACTCATCACAGTCGGTGTAATGCTGTTAGTGCTTAGGCTGTTGCGTAGTTAAACATCTTTAATTAAAGTCACTTCCTTTAAGCTAATTAGATTAATTGTTGGGAACAACACAGAAGCTGCTCCATCCCCTGATCACATCCGCCCAGGCCCACTGAGCTTCTTCATTACCTACATGCCATTACATTAATCTGTACTAATGTGTTCAGACAAAACATACATATGAATATGTTGGTAAAACCTGCAAGATGATTTAGAGCTACCTTCAACAAAGAAGAATCCGTCCAGATGACCTGACTTAACCTTGTTAGATTTTTCTACCTGGATTACTGAGCCTGCATCAGGAGATTTAGAGCTATTTGTTTGATTTAAAATATATGAATGTTATATTTGGGTTATTAGTGGACAGGCACGCACCTGGTCTATCTCCATGAGCTTGGGGAACGCTCCCGGCCACTCGATGGCCACCTTAACGATGTCTGCCGGCGGCGGCATGGCTGCCGGGGAGGTGCTCGGTGCGAGTCTCGCTGCCTCACACCTCTGTCACCACTAATGGAGGGGAGCTCATCCAAACCTGCATAACAAGTACAAACAGAGGAGAGAAAGACAGAAAATGAGGCGTCCAGATTTAAAACTAGATTTTTTTTAAATGACATTTAAATGATTGTGATTGTGACTGATGAAAAGAGACGAGCACAGACCAGATCAACACATCAGAATCAGGTGTTAGTAGAGTGCACTTATTTATTACTGGAAAACGCTCGTTCAGAAGCAATTGGGCTTGTACAACTAGAACATTTGTGGAAATTAAAACAAAAGTGGAAGTTTACAAAATGTAGAGCAACATTTAAAATATTTTCTTCAAAATTGACCAGACTATCAAAATCAACTTCTGGATCGGACTGAGACTGAAAAGTGCACCTAAATACAGAATTGAGCTTCCAACACCAAGTGGTAAAAATCCAAACAGGCAAATAAAATATGAATTTGTGGTTTCACGCCTTTTGATTTCAGATGCTATACTAATTTAATTATTCATGAACAACTAAAAACCATTCAGACTTCTTGGTATGGTGCACACGCAAGTGTAATCCAACTCTACTTTGTAAAGCTAATTTGCTAAAAATGTCAAAGTTGAGTGAACTGGAAAACCACAGCATTTTGTAGCAAACCCACAATTTCATTGCAGACCCGACTCAGTTGATTCATTTGTATATACCAGGGGAAATAAAATACAAACCCTGAATATTTTTGCTTTGATTTTTGCAGAAAAAAGGTAAGTTTGATAACATTTTTGGACGTGTTCACGGCAACAAAAGTGTTCCAGTCGTTTGAAAGCAGAAGAAATTCAATAACCAAAGCATGGTATTGTTCAAAATAGGTTTCAATTTCTTTAAAATTTTGTTTAGTCAAAAATATATATAATGTATTTATAATTGTGCTTACTGGCAAAGGTTTTTTTTAATGTCTTAAATCATGTCCTGTTAGGACAAGGTGTGAAGAGATCTTTTTTGTAATTTCACTATCCTCTCATGTCTTTGTCCCTTTTTCTATCTAAAAAAATATATTCTGAAAAGGATAAGAAGGCCGCGCTTTATAGCAGCAGCTACGTGCACTCCACCCATCTTTCGAACGACTGTACAAACATATTCTCGTATCTCGGTGCAATGATAATAAAGCTTATTCTGATTCTGAAACCTTCAAAATAGTTTATATGATCATTTTTTGACTGTGGGTGAACTTTGAGTACAAATAAAATGAGTCTGATGAGAACCATATATTATTTGTATTACCTTAATTAGGGTTTTTACACTGTACTTTAGACAGGACATGTATGAGGACAGCAGGACAGTGCTGAGATGTGCTGTAAGAGTGACCGGGTTTTTCTGCAAGAAGAGAGGAGGACAGTAGCCTCCCCTCCTCCTCTCAGCATTAAAGTCAGTCTGTGAGTGTTGAACAGACTGAATCAACATTCCACGACCGAACTCCTTTTCATCAAAGAACTCCCGAGGACGGAGCTGTATCTGTTTCAGCTGGTGAGTTTACGTTTGTTAATGTTACTGCAGCTTAATACGTACATCGCGGTGAATTAAACTAGAATCCATGTAACGCTAACTTTAAGATATTAGTGTGTAAATTTATTATATCTATGTAGCTAGCTAAACTCAGAAGCTAACTAAAGATTGACAGTAACAGATGAAGCTTAGCTTGTAAAAAATGTGCTCATCCATCAGATCAGCTGCTTAAACAGTTCAGCTGATGTTCACTGTTTGTTTATGTTCTCCTCACAGGAGGTTCTGACCCTGATGTGAGGAGGACAAAAGGACAATAGAAAAGTGAGGTAGGGGCCACAGGACAGTCACAAACTTTGTTGTTAAAAGTTTGCTGTCTTTTCTACAGTGGAGGCTGCATGGTGGAGGTAAGTTAAGCTGTAAAGGATTTTGTTGACCAGTTAAGCTTTTATCTCTCAGCCTAGATAATAGTTTGTGAGCAAGAATAACACAACCATGTTATTGTTGATGTTTAGTTCTCATGTCAGTTAGGGAGATGATAAGAGCCTTAAACCCCAGAGAACCACAGAGAAGATTCAGGAAGAGACACAGAGGTGCAGATGTCTGCATCAACCCTAACCTCAGTGAATCCAGTGACCTGCTGGTGGAATGTGAGGGACAATATGTCAGTGCTATTAATCTGACAACCAGGTATCTGTGTGTGCAACAATCATCATCTACAGCCTCAGAGGGAACACTTCCTACTGCTGGAGACACCATCAGCCAGGAGCTGGCTTGTTTGTGTCCAGAGAAAGCAGACATGTTGTTTCTAAAGAAAAACTGTTCAGTGTAAAGGTCCTCAGTGTGTAGCAGTGAGCATTAAACACTGAAGTGTCAATGGTTTGAAACTGGTCTTTTGAACTGGAAATTATTTGTTTATTTTTATGTAAGAAAACTGCTTGGAATAGAAAAATACCAAAGTTAAAAAAATAAAACTCACGATTTGTACTGTAATGTGTAACGTAATTTTACTCTTGTTAGAATGAATAGTAATTAAAACATTGGTACCGAAAAAAGAACCGTCCAGGAACCGACACCGAAATGAAGGTACTGACACCAATTTTTTTTAGAAAGGTACCCAGCCCTAGGCACCGGAGGAGGGGGCGTGACAAAGAGACCATCTTAGCACCAACATAACTGGTTTGTTCCACTTTGGAGTAAGCTGTTGGGGGAAGAATCAGTTTTGTGTTGTGTGATTCCTTGACTGATGAAGCCTTCTGGATGGAAGGTGAAACGTTTCAGCACAAAAAAAAAAAGAAACTGTCCAGATGACCTGACTGAAAAATGTTGGATAACTGTTCATACTTTTCGTAGCTTTCCAGTGATGGAAAGAAAACTCTAATCATGCCATTTTGCAACAAGTGTTTTACTGTAAACATCAAATTACAATTCAACAATTATAGTCAATGTCTAACAAAAAAATGTACAAATATGTTCTGTGTGCTGTTAATTACAGTTCTAAAAGAAAAACTAGCATTGGCTAAAATCAAAAATGGAAAGGGCAAAGCTTTACAAAAATCAGAACCAGCCTTAAAAACAAAATAATAAACTAATCGGTGCATTCTCTTGTTGAACCGGTTGAGTGAAGTTACATCAGTAAGAAAAACTTATGAGCTGTCTTTTATTGATCTTAAAAAAAACTGCACGGGGCAAACCAATCTCATAATTACAATCACTCTGAAGCATACTAAAGGAGTTACACAAATCTGCTTCTGATTGAATGTAAACTGCAGTTATTGAGCAGAAAATGTTGATGTTCCTCTGATCTATAAAGCCAGTTTGAGCAAAGACGGTATCAATAATTTACCTTTCAGTCTAAAAAGCTCGGATCATAGCTTCTGCTGAAGAAGCTTGCTTACATATTTTATTTCAATCAATAATGCATAAAAACTGTCTTAGACTAACCCCTGTGGGAACACTAAAGAGTAGGATGTTGTAAATGTTAACTTATACATCTTATGTGCATGAGTACACAGAACAAATGTTTAAATGTATGTATTCAACACACAAGTGATATAAAAAAAAAACAACTTTCAGTCTAAAGTCCATGTTCCTCAGTAAAACATATGCAGTGCTTTGTAAATAAACTTCTGATTTAAAGATAGTATACATAATAAAAGTGGTCTGGCGGTGTGTGAGTCACCCCATAATAATCCACGTAGCCTTAATTCAAGGGGCCGTTGCTATGGCAGCTCCTGCATCAGTGGCTCGAGATGTAGATGCATTTTCTTTCCAAAATGAGTGGCATACTCAAGTCACATCTGTCACAACTCGACAAAAATCACTCACTCAAGCCCTCTGCTTTGAATTTCACCAGTGAAATATGAATGAGTGTGCCCATTGAAAAGCTGATTGGTTTCATAATGCACGTTAAATACTTCCTGAGACTGAGTGACGCTCGGCGCATGTGGAGGATTGCAGGGTTGCGTTCTCATTTCCTTTCCTCTTTTAAACTCGAGCAGAAAACATTTGGTTTCTGACAAACGACTAGGCGGTGAACAATCAGATCTCGCACAGACAAACACCGCTATTTCTCCTCATGCAGAGAATCGAAAAAGGAAACCTGGACATGCTAGGCCCTTAGAAACAGCCTGCCAAGATTTTAGGCTAAGCTTTAATCACCATGGTTCCAGGGATTTCGTTGTCGGTCTGTTGCTTGGTTCACCACTTTGGCCCGCAGTAAGATTGCTAAGAATTTCTCAACAGATACTTAGAGTGTCATGAAGATTAATCCGAGGATGGAACTTTGATTTGTGGTTTTGGAAATGTCTCCACAACTAATAGATAGATTATTATAGGATCAGGAAAAAGACGTTCATTCTCCTCCCAAACTGAACTGCGACCACGTTATTATAAACTAAAATCACATCCAGTGACAGTCTCATGGATATGTTCTCTTAGTTTCAACACATAAAAGAATAAAAACACTTGGTACAATTTGGTAATTAAAATAAAGTCTGGTATTTTTCAAACACTTCTTTTTAGGGTCTTGTGATTAGCCATGTTGAGAGAACACTATGTAATACAATGCAAATAAAAAGTAACAAACTACTTATTTTTGTAGTTGCGCAGTCATTTCTTGGTGTCTAGTCGAACAAGTGGGACTTTAATATCTCTAACTGCCTCTCTAATTACCGGCTCCTGCAAAAATACATTTAATAAATGAATGTTTAAACCATTTCTAAAATCGTCAACATTTATGATTTATTTGAACTAAAAAGCTTGCATTTATTTCAGCTGCACAAAATCTATTGAATTAAGCATTAATTTTAGCCATGTTCTACAGTAACTGGTCCAGAAATGTTACAAAGTTAGTCACCTACAGAGACAATGCCGCTAGGGCTGCAACTAACGATTATTTCAATAATCGATTCATTGGCCGATATATAAATTTTTCCGATTAATCGATGAATCTGCAAAAAAAAAAAAAAAACGTTTTAATTTCCACCCTTTTATTCCAAAATTGAACATTTGACTGATATAGCAATTCA